CCTTTTACTAAAATGTAGTTTCTTCCTACTTGCCAACCAGCAATGTAAATTCTTCCTTGTGTCTTGAAGAGAACAGGAGAAGTATTCTTATTTTTTCACAGATCTGATTCAAACTACTTAAAATGAATGAGAAAAGCATCATTATTTGAAGAAACATTTTCTTTTTCCCTTTAACTTTTTTTCCCTAGTACCTTTTACTCTGCCTTCCTAGAAGCTTAGCAGAGCTGTGAACTCAGATGAAAGCAGATGAAAAAAGCAGAAGCCAATGAGGAGCTGCAGGTGCCTGTTCTTGGAACATCATTTCCAGTAGGAACTGTGCAAAGAAAACTGAATACCACATTTTCTTCTGTTTGAAACAACTAATTTATGTGTTGCAGATTTATCAAAGATGCAGGGTGCAGATAATGCATTTTTGAATACAAGATAACAGTGTTTGGTTTCTATTTTTTCTTTTTTCTCTCTCTCTAAGGTAATTTCACACATTGTATGGAAAAAAGGGAGAAGAGAATAGCTTCAGGAATTCATTAAGACTGACTGATATGTTAGGATTCATTCGTAAACTGCCCAACAGTGGGTAGTTTCGGATTAACCTCTCAGTTCCTTTTTCTATGTGTTTTAAAGTCACAACATTCATCCATAAATCCTTACTACAGTCAGAAACAAATCTGTAATTTCTGCACTTGAGATGCTTTGTCATCATAAAATGACACACTTCTTAGGACTTTAAAACAAGTTATTTTTTTCATACTCTCTTCCTTTCCCTCAGAGGTTTTGGAACTGTCTTTCCCTTAAATTATTGGACAAAGACTACTAGGATGAGTAGATTACTGGAGGTGGTAATCAGAAATCTATTTATTCTGTTTTTCTCTTAAAAAATCATTTCACATAATAAATAGAATGAATTAGGGTAAATTATGAACGATTTATGCTTGCTGCTATTGATAGCTGCTAGTGTTTATCTTTTATCTCTTTTCTGTATCTTCAGGGGTCAGAGGAAATCTTTCTTAAAGAGTTTCATTTTGCTGTGTAAACATAGTATCTTCTAAAATGTTCTTCCATTTTGAGCCAAACCTCAAACCTTTACAAGAGCAAAGGAAATTGTTGTGGCTTTTGTGCAGGGATACGACTATTAGATAGGACAAATGATGCTGTTTCTCTTCTGCTCTCTGAGGAATTGCTTTTTATTTGATTGTTTTCATTTTTCATTTGCATTTTTGTGCCACTCTGCTGCAAATTATGGACAAAGGAGTGGGTCAGAGAATATTTAGTACTACTGTTGTACACAGTCTGTGGGCAAATCCCATGAGAGCACACTGCACTAAGGCATCCTGGGCTGGAGAGACAACAAAGGGCGATATGTAAAACTAGAAGTTTTTACTGAGTGATGTTTAATGCCTTGAGACAAAGATAATTTATATGCTCTCAATAATGAAATAGATGATGGAAATCTATTAGCTTGTTAAAAATGCAGAACATTTTCCCATCTTGGAAAGTGGAATCAAAATTTAGAATGGTCTTGACAAATTGGAGAAATGCAAATTGGAGAATTGCATGCTACAATTTAATAATGGTATGTACAAAGTCAGACCTTAGAAATTAATGACCAGTGTCAGAAGTACAGTGTGGGGAATGTTAGAGCTTACAGAAATTCTGTGCTAAAGATTACACAAATTAACATGGATTGTAAATATATATCAGGGAATAACAATGCGCTGTTCCAAGAAAAGGAAAAAAAAATTGTTTGGGGATTATAACAAGACTATCTCCTGTAAAATATATTGCATAATATTTCAGTGAATATCAGATGAAATACTACAAGTTTGGGAAATCAGCTTCTGGAAGAGTTGGTCCAAGCAGGATTCAAAAGAATGATCTGATGCTCAGAAAACAGACTGTATTAGGAAACACTGAAAGACTAAAGGAATGATGACTGTATTTCCCCACAATAAGCTGAGAAGAAATGTTAGCATGCATCAACAAAAACAAACTGAGGACAACACAGTATTATTGAGTAAGAGAAAGAAACGACCTTTCTGTCTCTTTGGAGCCCTGGGGTAGACTGCTTATATTGCAAAAACTTCATCACTGGCTACTTCTATGAACATGTTAGAGTGGGTTACAGTATAAGCATTGTATCTTTGATAACGTGAAGGACAGGTAAATGAATTTAATTACTATGCTGACTTTTTATACTACCTGTTTTTAACCTTCATTCAAATAATGAAGAACTATTTGCACCTACCCCTAAGATGGCATTCAGGGCCTCTGGGTTTGCTGAATCCCATTTTCTGTGCAGAATCACAGAATCACAGAATGGCCAGGGTTGGAAGGGACCTCAAGGATCATGAATCTTCAACCCTCCTGCCACTGGCAGGGACACCAGCCTCCACATTCAATACCAGACCAGGATGCCCATGGCCCCATCCAACCTGGCCTTGAACACCTCCAGGGACGGGGCATCCACAGCCTCTCTGGGCAGCTGTTCCAGAAGACCTCAAAGAGATGGGTAGGAGAGTAGTCCCTCCATAGGTCAAGAGGTACTGCCTGATCAGTTGAGATATTTTCCAGTCCTACCTCCCATGTGGTTATGCCAAGCTCACTGACTGTCAGCTAGCATTTTTCGAATGTCAGACTCTGGGTAACTTTTTCTATATAGAAGAAATTTAGAATAGTGAGTATGCTTTTGTTTGATGTTCGTGGATCAAGAGACTAAAGTCTAGACTCTTGCCTACTGATCTTGTTTATTTTGTACAAATTTAAATTCAGAAGATATAATTTCTAATTTTGAGCTAAGCGTGTTTGATCATATTCTGCCTTTATTTGCTCTTGATTTCTTAAAGAATAAGATGCATCTATTTTATTCTTTGGGATGTAAACTAATACGGGGTGGGAGATGTTTTAATAAGACAATGATTAAGAGTTTTCCATTGTTCCTAGAGGACTATACATACAGCAATTAGCAATCCACCTGATGATGAAAGTGAAAAGAATTTAATTGCCTTGGCAAATGTTATAAACAAGCCTAGTCGGGCCAGTGCTGTTAAGTGAGAATGCATTTTCTTCTAGATTTCCTTTCCTTTTCCACTGTTACTGTGTTTCTCTCTAGAGACTGGAATGTGTGTTTTCTTTTTCAATAAAATGAATGTAACGCTTTGCTATCTGAATTTTGGCTTGGAGAAGATATTTATTTCACAGTGGATTCTTCTACTTTTAAATGCCAGGGATTTAAAATGGAATGTGTAGGAAGTGCTGAAGTGCCTATCTGTCATTTACATTGAATATATTTACAGTACATCTTCAAAAGGTGAGTTGTTTCTTTCCAATCTTTATATGACAACCAATTATACTAGACACTTCCATAATCATAGGTGTCAGGACCCTCTCAGGTAGATGGCTAAAATAACAGTTTTACCTTTTTAAAAACCTTTACAATTTGACAGGGAAAAATCCCTTTGCAGGATTGAACAACAGTGAAATGTGACTTGGCTCTTTGAGCTGACAGTGTCATTTTTTGGTAACAATCTTCTTACAGATATAACATTTCTATGCATAGATATGCAGTTATGCACATATTTAATCCAATGATGTAGTATATCTTCCACTATTAAATGAGCATTCATTTCACAGAATCAGACTCACAGAATGGTTTAGCTTGGAACAGACATTAAAGATAATCTAGGTCTAACTGCCTGCTGTGGACAGAGTTGCCACCCACTAGATCAAGTTACAACAGAGCCCCATCCAACATGGCCCTGGATATCTCCAGGGGAGGGGCATCACAGCTTCTCTATGTCTCTGGGCAGCTGTGCCGGGGCCTTGCCACCCTCTGAATAAAAAATTTCTTCCTAACATCTAACCTAAACCTCTCCTGGTTTAGTTTTAAGCCATTCCCCTTGTTCCATCATGACCAAACTGTGTAAAAAACCCATCAGGCTTCTCCTACTTAAAAGCTCTCTTCAAGCGCTTGAAGTCCACACTGAGGTCTCCTTGGAGCCTCCCAGCTCCCTCAGCCTTTTTTCGCAGGAGAAGCTCGCCAGCACTCTGGATCTGCTCCAACAGCTCTTCTTCATTCCTGTGCTGGGGCCCCTGGCTTGGACACCATCAGGAGGCCTTATTGTGAAAGTGGGAATACTTACTACCCTGAATACAGATGCAAAAACCACCAGATTTGGGCATACACGTCAGGTGTATCAGCAGCCCCATCTGATATTTTTAGTAGTAGATCTTTCAGTTCAATCAGACATTTTGCCAGCATTCTTCATGTTTCTCTAAAGCAATGCACGTGCACTCAGGTCTTTGTGGTACAAAAATGTTACACAGTATAAAGGAAATATACAGTGAATAATACCCTAAATAACAAGTTAACTGCTTCTAAGTAAATCAGTCATTAAATTTACACTTTCTTTACACCCCCATTAAACATTTGCTAGGGAAGTTCTGAAACGTTTTGTGTTTTGTATTCTCATGATAGTGTAATAAAAATAATCTTTCCATTGGGTATTCAAAACCCTGGAGTGAATAATTTCCATTAAAAAAAAAAGAAAAAGAATTAAAAATGGATAGGTAATGAGGTAAATTAAGTATGTGCTTTATAGAAAATTACAGAAAATAGTGAATACTTACAAATATGTACTGAGACATGATAAACTGTTATTTTACATTATTATTAACAAATAAACTGTTATTTATATTCTTCCTTCTCTTGAGTTAAAGGAAGAAATAATTCCAATAAAGAAAAGAACTGTAAAGTTTTATGCCCCATATTTAACAACATTAAATTAGGTGCACTGCACGGATAGGTATCATATTATTGCCCTGTGAATGTCATTGTTTTATACTGCTCTTTTTTATTCACCTTCACTTTTATCTGCGGGACCCTATGCATAGGAACCCTATAAAACAAGCAGCATACAATAGGCTACCACCTCCTTGCACTGGAATTACCACAGTTATAGTCTTCTCTACGTGCAACTGAAATTTCAGTTTTCTCCTTGTTTTACCTTATCCTTCTTCTGTTTTTCATCCTGGTATATGACCCAGTGTTCCCCATCATTACTGTAGGCAAGCTTGTAGGATCCCACAAACTGGACGTGACCAAAATCTTTAGCACCTTGAGTAATTATGCCGGTGATTTTTGTAGGGACAAGTAGATCAACCTAAACAAAACACAACACAAGATAACAAATGTATTTAGAACAGTGTCTGTATGCAGTCTGACTTCACACCACACAAAATCAAAAGCTGCTGATACACTGGCACAGTTTGCAACAACTTCTGCATGTTCCAGTTCCATGTAATGGTCAATTACCACTGGGTAATTGGTCAATTCACCTCTTTCTTTTACACTAATCATCACTTTTATCCCCTTATGGAATACCAGGACTGATCTCACACCATTTTTTATTGTGCTGCCCACCTTCCCAACAAAACAGCAGTCCTTGCAAACCATCTGCAGCCCAAAAAGCACTCCCACATGCTCCTAATAATCTGAATAGAGTATGTCACAGGTTGATTCTCCATCTCCATTCCATTTTCTCTGCAGTGACAGACGCTGTGCTTTATTAAGTCTTTTAGAACATTTTCTATCACACTTTTCCTGCTGAACTGTTCCACTCACTTTAAGACCTTTATGTCTTTTTTTCTACCTCTAAAACTCTAGCTTTTTCATTCACTAACCTTTTGGAGCTATTCATTTTATAATCTTAGCTAAAGATTTAAAAAATGCAAGGCAGGACTCTTAATGCCTAATAAAATCTTTCAAGTGGCTTTCACATGGGTCAGCACATTTGTGATCAGCTTTGTGGAACCAGAGTTCAACACTGAATATAACAGATCTGGGCCAAATGGCTTGATTTAAAGTGATCAAAGAACAGAACACAGTAACAGAAATAAATTGACCTAATAACACATTTTTAGAGGAAGAATGGAGCAACTGCAGTCCCTATTCAAACTGACATTTTCTGGAAATGTGAAGGCATTTGATTCTGTGTCCTCCAGTAATGCATTAAACCAGAAAAAAAACAAGAACAACAACACCTCCACAAGAAAAGTAGATTTATTTCAGACAATAAATAGCTGTGAAGCAGTCGGCATTTTTGATATTGTCTGCTAAATCAAATAAGACTAATAGTAAAAATATCCTGGTAAAAAATTAGAGAAGTGCTCAACTGTATAAGAATATGTTTTTGCAACAACAACAAAAAATTGAAGAAGAATGTGAAGGAATAAAGAATATCTGACTGATAAAATGCTGAAGACTCAGTATTGCAATTTTTTGAAGCTGAGGTCATCTGAAAAGGCCAGATTTGGAATGAAAATGTAGGGCAAGGGAGAAGAACATCTGTGATAACATAAGAAATTAATAACGGGAAAAGGAGAAAAAATAAATGAGCATCAGAAGTCATCAAACCCAAGTCAATGCTTTTGTAGGCTGGGGACTACAGTTTGCATCCCATAAAGATGAAAATGCAGAAATATGTAAAGACATGTTTTTAAGAAATGAAGAGGAAAAATGCCTCTTAGGAGCAACCAAACAAGGAAGACTGAATACATCTGCCCCAATATCTGATGACAAGTAGCAAATAATGAGTAACAAATTATTTCCAGAAGAGGAGTAAAACAAAACTTTTAGTACTGAGATACCATAACAGCAAATGGAAAACGGCATTGTCCACAGATGATCTTAGAATTTTGATTCTATCAGAAGAAAAGGATTTATTCTCATCCAACAGAAGCCAAATGGCTCAGAGGAGCACCTTGGAACCTACGGGAAGCAGCCCTGCAGGGAGAAACCCTTTTGGTTTTCTCTTTGTTCAGTGGAGAGAGGAAGGACTGAATCAAGAGCAGCTCTCATAGTCTGCTTGAAACAACTTATTTCTTCTGTAGCAAGTGCAGGAGACTGGCTTCCACAACCCAAGTGGACTGCTGGGAATCAGGCACTGCTAGTTAGATTTTTTTAATGAATTAATAAACTCAGAGTATCCAGATCTTAATTCCCAATATTTTTTTCAGAGCTCAGATGACTGGATCCACTTTTCAGAAAGGCTGACCTGGTAAAGAATCATTAATTGATCCACACTTCTGGGCAGCATTTGAACTAAACATTTCAGAGTCAACTTTAAATTCTGTTTATAAATATTTTTTACATTAACATTTTCCAAGCATAACCTCTTCTATGTGGTTTCTTATACTAAAAGCTAATCTCTCTCCTGCTTACTTGGAAAGATATTTCCATAAAAACACTTGGCTATTTTTAAAATGTCAAAAGTAATCTAAAAGGATTTCAGTAATATTTAAAATGGCCATGATGTTCAGAGTATTTTTCATTGAAATTCAGAACAGCAAGAAAACGTCCTATTAAGATTCAGGGAATTTCAAAGATAAAATCACAATACATCCTTATTATCACCCAGATCCAGGGTTAATAAAAATGTGCTGGCAACAAATGTTTTGCACTTATGGGACATATCCAGTGGCCTTGCAGTCTTGTTCAGAAAAATGATGTGGGAATCTGGAAGGTAATTTGGCACATGTTCAGCCTTTTTATGAAAGACATACATAGCATACATACACATGTTTTGGTGTGTGTGTGCTTGTGCATGTTAATTATATGAAAAAAAAAAAAGAAAGAAGTAAGGTTTAATAGACAGGGTCTGTTCTAAGTCTAGGTTTTGACAATACAAACAATATAAATTGCTGGAGGTGGAGAGAAAGAAAAGGATGTACTATTCTTTTTTCTTACTTTCGTATCATATTTAATTTTTTCTTCATAAGCCAGTATGAAGCTTTCATGAAGTAAAGAGTGGTTTTAACTTACTATCTAAAAACCTGCTTTTATTCTATTGCTTTATTACCTTTTGCAAAGAGTTAAAACAGTCTTGCTTTTCATCCTTCCAACTGAAAATAATTAGGAATGAAAAGGTGAGAAGAGCTTACTTCAATTTCTAAGCAAAACATCCACATTTAAATACCTTAACAGAAAGTCGTACCTTCCCATCAGGATGCAGAATACATTTATTCAGTTAGTGCAGATTGCAAGTAACAGGCAATCAAACAAATTGCCAGGGAGAGAAGTTGAATTAACACACAGCCACTATATGCTCTTCAAAGCTGAATGTGATTAACCAGATTAGAATGTGACTTTGACTTTTTTAGTGCAGCAGAATTTAGAGTGAGGTAGAGGCAATTAGACTGCAGCTGATAGGCTCATTAGCTTGTTACACGAAGAACCATGGTTTACAGTCTAATGTACATTTCTACAAGCAGCAGATCAAAAAGCAGTTTAACACCTTGTGTCTGAGAGAACTCTCTTGGGCTGTAGCAGTCCCCTTTGTAAATATGTTTCCCACCTTGCTTCTGACACTGAAGATGACTGAATGTGATTCGAAGAATTGAAGAAAAGTGTAAAGATAAATCCATCTGAATATGAAACATTTTAGTGAACCGCTGCATGAATTTGTAGCATAAACTGCAAGGCACTGTACAATTCAACATAGAGTGACTAGTACCTACACTATAAGTAGGGAGAAAACAGTCACATAATTGCTCTGTCCCTGCTGTGAGCTAAAAAAAACCTAGACTTTCCTCATCTGTCTGTGCAGATGTGTGCAATTTTCATACAACTCGCTTTTCAACTGAACTCCTTGAGAACTGCAACTAGAGGTGCAGATACCCTCAATCTGCAGAAACGTTCAACTACTGCAATTTTCTGAGTACTCCTTCCTCTCTCTTCTCTTCTAAACATCCCCCTTTCTTCTATATACTTGGCAGAAACACATGAATATACAAGTATTTGCTGGAAGAGCATATCCATGATAAATCATGGAAACTGATGACAGAACTCAGGAAAGGAAGCAGACAGCTCTTATGAAATATATGGAAGACGATCAAGGAATCTCTCCTAGAATAAAAACACACACTGCAGCTCTGGCTTACAAGAAGACAAGCTTCAAGAAGACACAAACTGCAGAAGCATTCAGCATTTGAGAGGTGAACGGAAGAGATGGATCTATGTAGCAGTACATAGCAACCTGCTCAAAGTTGCCCTACCTGAGCAGGTTTGGACAAGATGACCTCTAACATCAACTGTTCTGTGATGTTGTGACCTAGTAAACCCATCCAGATGGATCAAAGTATTGGAGTCTGGGAAATCAATAGGCAATAAGTAGGGTATGTTTTTACTGACAAGCAGCAGAGTGCAATGGTGAAGAAAAGTAATTGATTAGAGACCAAGATGCCTACACAGTTTGTGCTACAGAGGTTTTACTTCCAGTTAGCCTCGACCAAATTTTGAAGCATGTCTTTTGGCTTAATTTCATTTGAAACAATCCATTTCATGCTCTGTGAAGATACTCCATCCTATGAACTAAAGCATGAAAAGTGGAGACATTCTTAAAAAAGCCCAACACATTCCTTATCTGCTCTGCAATACTAGGGGAGAAGAAATAATGCACAGAATCCAGGGGGCAGCATGTCCTACTAAGTGATGAAGATAATGGTGAGGTGGCTCAGCTGTCCTTCAACTGTACATGTTATCATTTCAGTACACACAATCTCAGCTTCAATTTGGAGATTCAGAATAGAAAGAGGGAACTGAAAATTAATGGAGTGCTGGGAGTTAAGGTAATGGTTAGTTAATGATGCATGTTTTTTAAAACTATATTTTAAAAGTTCATTTTAGTCTGCTACTTTTTAAGAGACAACATTCCTGCTCCCAGTTTAGCTAGCCCTGTGCCCACTTATTTGACAATTTTTAGTAGTGTCAGTTTTCCTCCAGGTTTTCTTTAATTTACCTCTAGGGGCTGTTTTCCTACCAGCTGATGCCAGATAAAGCAGATGAAATTCTGAGTATTCCTAGTCATCAAACAAGAGTCTCTTGGAGTAGAAGTATCAGGGATTGAAAAAAAAAGAAGAAACCTGTGTCCAACACAAGTGAGAAGGCGGCTGTAGCACCTACCCTTAGAAGACTTCCACATGACATCTACTTCATTAAAGTGGAGATCTATCACATACACTTGCCCTGTGTCAAGGCCTCAGATACTCTGGACTGCTCAAGGTAATATTAGGCATTCGTGATTAGTTCCTGAATATTACCAAGATAGTTTAATGCCCTCAGTTTGTTCTGTGCAAATTTCTCACTCTCTGATCAAGACCTCTA